GGAGCGGAGAATGAACAAGGCGGCAGCGGCGAGAATTACATAAAAATGAGTTCGGTGAAAGGAGGCCAACAAGACATTGAGAGGGAGACAGAGAGAACATACGAGAGAGACAGGGAACAGACAGAGACAGGCATGGAGACAGACAGACGAGAGAGACAGAGAGAGCAGAGGGACAGATAGAGACAGAGAACAGAGAGAGAAGCAGAGAGAGAGAAACAGGAGGAGAAACAAGAGGAGAAACAGAGGGGGGAGAGACAGAAGAACAGAGAGAGACAGAGAGAGACAGAGAGAAACAGAGAAACAGAGAGAGACAGACAGAGACAGACAGAGAGAGACAGAGAGAGACAGACAGAGAGAGACAGAGAGAGACAGAGAGAGACAGAGAGAGACAGAGAGAGACAGAGAGAGACAGAGAGAGACAGAGAGAGACAGAGAGAGACAGAGAGAGAGAGACAGAGAGAACAGAAGAGACAGAGAGAGAGACAGACAGAAGACAGAGAGAGACAGACAGAGAGACAGAAGAGAGACAGAGAGAGCAGACAGAGAGACAGAGAGAGAGACAGAGAGAGAGAGAAAAGCTGCGGAAGTAGATCCAAGGACGGCAGCGCAAAAAGCGGAGGGAAAGCAAATTAGTAGTCAACCAATGGCGTCATGAGAGGGACGCGAAAACATGACACCCTCAACGAGTCCCGCCCCTCGTGCATTCATACTGAAATAAACGCCGTCTCCAAAGAAATGAGTTCAAAGATGACGGTCTATTAAAATTGTGCTAAAAAGGAATTTACTTGCCGTATCTTGTTCAGAGACCAGCGTGGAATAAAATAAATTATTCTTTACAGTTCAGTTTAAATTATTCAGTTACAGTTCTTTAAAATTCTTATGTATACTCTTAAAATGTACTTTACTTATTTTTAGAGTAGTTTTGGAATAAGCTGAAAGTGAAATTATCCAATACATTTTGTATTTCACTTTGGCAATATCTATATTATGAGTGTAATTAATTACAGATTAACGCCAATGCCTTTTTCAATGGATGGAAAATGTTTAGTAACATTTGAAGACGGTCTACAAACTTATTTCAGGTCCGATTTATAGATTTTTCTACAATATTACAAGGATCTTCAAGGTTATTCCACGTAAATATATTTTATTCTTTTAACGTATGTGAAATCGGCCAATGACAGAAATTCAAGCTTATTTACTTTTTTGTAATTCAATTGAACTGAAATAATTCAATAACAAACCAAAAATTCATCATCCTTTTTTGTTTCAGACATCAACTTCAATTACAAGAGATACATCAGAATGACTGAAATTTGAAATGCTGTTGAATAATAAATTATGCCTAGCTTGATTTACGAGCATAAATAGAGTTCTTGGATTATTAAATACCGTCAATAAAAATTGTAAGACACATAATTTCACGTTCTTTTATAAATAAAATACACGTCATTCCCTATTATTTTCAAAGATTTCAAAAGTTTAAAATTGACACTTATTGAAACAAATGTTGTCGTCTCTTACTTGTTCATTTGGATGTGTATATTCAGTTAATGACCTTACGCCTCATCTTTTTTGGTGGCGTATGATTTCTACATAATTTTGTGCATAATATGTAAGAAATATTCCAGAGTTTCAATTGAAAATAAGAAAGTACAAGTGTAAATTAAAGGGAAGCTCGCTGTAAAATACTACGTTGTACCAGCGCAGCACATGTTCACAACATCAACAACGCAAAGCCGCTTCCCCTCCATAGAAAGGGAATCTCTTGGTGGGAACTGCGATTTCGTGAAATCATTGGGGTAGGTCGGGTCCACCATGACGATCAAAACTTTTATAGATTTACCTTTCTATTTATTAAAATCATTCTCTGATTATTCTGGATTTGAACCATTTAATATCGGTCATATTACTAACACACGACATTAGTTATTTATTCTTACATTCTTACTTATGTAATTCTTTATCGTTGGTGAATGACCTGTTAAACGTTGAGACCGGTCAAAGCACAAGGAAGAAACTTTGGAAGTACGTGTAATTTGATGAATAAAAAAACTAAAACTGAAAGAATATGCGACTTAGAATATGTGAATGTCGTACGTAGGTAGCCTGGACAAGTTCTCGATCGAGATTCTTTCCAACTATGATCTTTAGCGTGGTAAAAAAAGGTCATTCATTTAATTAAATAAAAGTGTTATTCAATTTGTAAATTTCACCTACGTTAATACAAACACATATTCAACACGTAAAGATGTGATCTCTAAAATATAAAACTGATATTTTCATCCAGTGACTCATTCTAATTGGAATATTGAAAATGTATTTTGTTCAATTTCAAATAATGTATTTTATGCTGAAGTGCAGTTTACTGAAAAATGCTTTTTTCACAGTTTTATTTTAATATTTAATAAAAATGAATGTCAAAAGTTTCATATTAACTTAATTTAGGCACGCTTGTGAGTCAGTAACACGACTATTTTTTAAAATTTTCTAATTATTACTATTTTTGGAACATCAGCCAATCCAGTGTATAGGCAGTGACTGTGAGTTCTTATTAAACAATTTGTTCTATGTTTGGGAAAATAAAGAAAAAAGTAATGTTTTAATAATCCACAAAATCATTTGCGCAGTGAATACGAACAGAGTGATAAGAATGCTTCAATAAATTATTAGCGTACCGAGATTAAAATGTAATGGCAAACAGGTGAGTGGACGAGATCTATAAAGGTTGCCCTCGGTCACTTCAAGTACGTTAAGCACAGAGGTCAACATGGACAGATGAGTATTTCAGGAAGTTCTGAAAAGGGCTCTTACACGCCTGAATTTGTAAGGTGGTTAGAAACAAACCCAAACAGATGACCTTCTCGTACAAACGCCACGAAGTTATGCTGGAATAGGGAGTGTGTTGTAGTGAGGGCACAAGACGACTTGTGCAGCGGAGTGAAGCTTCGCAAATTGACCCCTCCACCTTTCCACGTAGGGCAACGGTGAAGCATAAGCTACTTCTCTGACCGGGAGACTAGGGTCCTAGACCCAGTTCTAGGACCCTAGTCTCTAGGACCCACCCCTCCTAAGAGTTTTTTGTATGAAACCGCTTCAGAATTTCTCCCTCTCTCCATTGCTGCATATCCTTTGATCCCCACTTGCTCCTCTCCCCCGTTATGGCTCCGTTATTCTTCCACCAATCCCATACCACCTGCTTGCTTCGTATTGGTCGGCTACTTTACCAATCCCGCTCTCCCTTGTCCTCCATATAAGGTGACCTCGCATCTGGCAGCAATATGATCTGAGGAAGGTCACAATATGCTGGTGGAAACGTTAGCCTCCAAGTCAGTAACGCGGGTCGTCTCGGATAGCCTAGATAATACAAACTCCCGCCGCGGAAGTTTATGCAACCACAACGTTTCGGCCGCCAATCTTCGACCTTCCTCAGGGCGAAAAACGTCGGTGCCTGTGTCTAAAACGCGGCGTCTCCCGGACAGCGAAGTAGATACTGACTCAGGCCGCGGAAGCCTACGCTCTCATGGTGAAGCATGCATATGAGCAGCACGAAAATTGTGTAAGAGAAAATTTTGACATTCTCGAAAATGTTCTATTCACTTTCAGAATTTCGACTTTTATTTGCATTTTCATTAGCACTTTGCATTTTAACTTTCTCTATGATGCTTTTGTAACTTTCACTTCAACATTTTTCCATTACTAGTATTACAATTTGTAGAATGAAAATCATATAATACGAAATTTTCATGAATTTACATCACGAACTCAATGACACTGAGAGTTTCCATACTATCTCCCTATATATGGTTTGAAGGATTACTAAGTGTCCCTCGAGCGTGAAGGTGATTCTAGCTTGTCCGAGAGCCTTCCACGTGGAGCCCTGAGTGCAATCCGTCCGACGATCGTCCCATGCCCTTTACGAGCTGCCCTTCACCGCACGATAACGAGTGGAATCGCCTATCTAAGTGGAGTTGCTCTAAGTAGGGACCACTTTACAGTTCAAATGAAGGTCACGCAGGGCGATGACACTGCAAGAGATAGTGATGAAGACACTTACAAATGAGCTAACTGTAAACGAACGCACTGACAAACTGAGCGCATGGACGTAACGTGTAGCGATATTGCCAGCTGTGTCTAAGCAGTACCTGTCAAAGCGGTTTCTTATTATAGTGATATCTCCAAACAACTAGATGCAAACATAAATACTGTGAACTAAAGCAGGATAATAATGGCTCATTGCTCTGAAGTGATGCACCCATGTGTCATGAATTAATATATTCAAAATGTTAATACATTTTGTGTTATTTAAGGTAGCATCAACTTCTGAGTCATTAGCGGCCACTTTTGCATTTAACGGTATGGTAACTGTGAGGAAGACATGATATGATGATGGGGTATAAGGACGAACACAAATACAACCATGCCTGAGGCGAGACTCGAACCCCGCGATCATTCAGTCCGAGATCGCTACTGCACTACTGCCTAAGCGATCTGGGCCATCGGGCCAGCATTAATTCTGACTTTGTCCCTTACTAGGACGTTTAAACGTCAATGCCCACCGACACAATTTAAAAAAATACGTAAAAGTATGGGGGAAAAGTGGAGTAGAAGTATATCTCGCATGAAGCTCATTCTACGCTGTGTCAAACACATCTACCAGCATCAAAATTCAAGAATAAAGAAATGTTGAAGGAATCGTTGATGTAAATTGTGCAAATTAAACATTTTAAGAATTTACAGCACAACATATTTGAATAAAAATAACAGCATTTTATTTCATTACGTATATTTTCAATGTATAGGTAGCATCTTTAATAACCTGTTTATTTTAAGTACATTTGCCTTTATCCATTACTATCCCATTTCGATTCACTAGTTTCATTAAATTATTTGGCACTTCGAATTGGTGATCTTAATTTAGCGAGAATATAGTTGTCCAGAATAGTAAATCCTGGTGCAAAACACGTTCTAAAATAAGCTAATCGCTAACTCTCTCTCACTGTCAGTTGTTTTCACTTTTTTCTTATTCTTCTTTACTATTTTTTTGCGCCTCTTGACTAGAGAAGAAGCGGATGCACTAGAAGACGAAGTTGGGCTGGAGTCTTCTTCACTCTCCTCTACAATCGTTTCGCTCTGAGTTATAGTTGGCGTCCTTTTTCTGGACCCGCTTCTGGATCTTTTGGAAGTGTTATTGTCCTCGTCCTCCTCATCCGAAAAGGAAACGTTCCCCTTCTTTTTCTTCTTCCCCGCCGCGTTCTTCTTCTTTGCTGTTTTTTTGTCGCCAGCCTTCCCCTCCGCGGAGGGCTTCGCATCTTCCGTGGTCGTCGCCTCCAGCAGCGAGACCACGTCGAAGCCGGCGGCGGCGGAGAGGCGCTCCAGCTCTTCCACGTGCCGGGCGCCCTCCAGCGCCTGCTCCTCGTAGATGAGCTTGCTGATCCCCAGCTGCAGCTCCATGATCGCCTCGTACTCGGTCAGCCCCAGGCGCCGCCTGTTGGAGATGTTGTACAGCCCGTCCTTGACCGGGCGGCGCGCGCCGTACGTGCCGCGCACCTCCAGGTTGTGCTTGCGGGCCAGCTCCTCCACGGCGCCCTGCTCCGCCAGCAGCGGCAGTCGGATGAGGTAGGAGGCGCGCAGCGTGGTGCCCAGGTTGGCCGGGTCCAGAGTCAGGTATCCCAAACGGTCGTCGTGCGCGAAGTCCAAGCACTCCTCCAGCACCATGGCGCCGCGAATCAACCGCCGGTACACCCCCTGCAGGTCGTGGCCCTTGCTCATGGAGACGACCCGCAGGTGGTCGTCCTTCCCCACCCACACCAAGAAGTCCCTCTTCTCGTTCATGAACAGCCCCCTCCCGGTGGGCCAAAACCGCCCCACGTTAGCCGCCCGCAGGAATTTGTTGGGCCGCGCGAACAACACGTGCTCGTCTCTCAGCTCCTTCTGCACCTCCTCACGCAGCTTATCCAGCGGGAAGTACTTGCCCTCCAGGTCGTAGGGCAGCAGCTCGAACGCCGGCAGCACCTTGGCCTCGATCTCCTTGTACAGGGCCCGTGTGAGCCGCGGGGCGAACGGGTACCCCGCCAGATTGCGGCACAGGCGGATGCGCGTTGACTGGATGTAGCGGCCCGCCGGGTCCGGCGAGCGTATCTTGGCCTTGTAGTTGCCCCACGTATGCTTGGGCTGCGCGGCGTCGCGCGGGAACCCCAAGTGCAGCTCGTCGATGGCCACGTTGAAGAGCGGGCCGAAGACGGCGTAGGCGTCGGGGTCCGGGGCGTAAATGCCGATGGGCTCCTTCATGTAGGTGGCGCCCGCCTGGATCACGTCCCAGAAGGAGCCGCCGTACTGCGTGCGGCGGTCCTTGAACGCGTGGAAAACGTCGTGGTTCAGCACCTCCTTGAGAAGAGACGTGCAGCTGTCGGAGCACTTGAAGCGGTAGTAGGCGCGGCGCATCTTGCGCTGCAGGGCGGCGTCGGTGCCGGCCTCGGGGCCGCCCGAGCAGAAACTCGAGCTCTCGTCTTCCATGGCCGAGCCCCTACCGCGACGCTTCGGTTTCTTCCTTCTGTTCTTCTTGAGGCCGAGGAGAAGTTTGGCGTTTAGCGATTTTTTTGGATTCAAAGCGATTTCATGTTTTAGTTCGTTACATTCTTGAGAGATTTTTTAGTCATTTAAGGGCTACAGAACATTAATTTATCAACCATCTTCGAACGAAACATTCTTGAGGGATTTTTTAGTTATTTATGGGCTGCAGAACATTAATTTCTCATCCATCTTCGAACGAAACTGGTGTTCCCATTTTGAACACAAAATTTATGTTACGTAGAAACGAATATTCACATTTATGTAACAATTCAAATTTGTCGTCATCAATAGTGCAAATAGTTCAATTGTTGTCCAGTTCGTCTTTAAATTTCAAATTTTCACTTTTTTTATTTCTTTGCTTTCGGAGAACAAATTTTTAATGACACTATGACGCACTGATCAAAACATTTAACATTATCTATATAAGCATACCATGGTATTTATCTTATTGGATATAAGAATATAATGGCTATAATTTCAAGAGAAAAAAAATTATTTGTATGGACTATTTTCTACCAACAGTAAGCATTATATGTTTGATGTTTTCAATTCACTTAAATGTCATAGTGTTTTTCCTTAGAATTAGAAATGGTTCCTACTAATACACAGCGATCATGTATAACAGTATTATATACTTTTCAGAAATAATTACTTTTTACTGACATGTCTTTTTATATGCATCTCCAAACAGTTGATCCGGGAGTATATACAATGTATCTCTCGGATACGTCACAAATATTCAATTTATATACCTTCTTTTAATGACTTTGATAAACAAAATTAACCTTCATTTTTTCCTATCAAGCGTTTATTACACGCTTGTGTCGTATCACATTCTTTAAAGTCAATGTGAGTTAAAAATCAATGTCGGCATTATTAGTAGGAATATTCTAATGTTCAGGTTATTTTGCAGTAAAGGAAAAAAATAATTTGTTTTACGTAGCCTGAAGTATTTATTTATTTTTGTGTTTTTTACATTGTTCATAAAATCGACCAATTGTGTTTTGTCCTTTTTACAAGCTGCTCATACTTGCTTTCCTTCCAAAGTTCTACATCTTCTTCGGACGATAAAAAATTGCAAAGAGAGAATTTCAATATCGCTGTAATAGGATGGAATAAATACACCTACAAATATAGAATACAAAAGAGAAAATTTGTGAAAAATAGAAAAAGTAAGTTTGTTAAGAAAGAAAAACTTACATTCATTCTCCATATGTCAATATTTAATGCATATATCTTTTTAATTTAAGCCTACTCCGAAGTTCATATCAGAAAAGTCGTAGAGATAATTGCAGCTGTATAGATGTCAAATCTCTCAATTGTAATGTGAAATAAATAAAATTTATTCGGTGTTCTGATGTCTCGTTTCACGTTCAGTCCTAATACAACCTAACTTAATTTGTTACCTCTGATACTCTGTTCAACTGTTTGATCTTCAACGCTTTTTGCGGCGTCCAGAGCAAACATTTTCATCACGATTGCGTACTGAAAACGAAATTTCCGTGTAAAACGCTCTCGTTCTTCCAATTTAGGTATCGAAACAGCAGCGTATAGAAATAAACATCCGTTTTCCAACAAATCTGTGCAGAAAAATGACGCAAAATTGATGTCAAACGTGCTTAATGTGTAAAACGGTCTTAATAGTGTCACTAGTGGTGAAACCAAAGCTGCCTTGCACACCATTCCCAGGTGCGCATTGATACGTCTATCGCTTGCAGATCTCGCCGCAAGCCGCTCACAGCTCTCTTCTCGCACCCGTATGTATGCCAGGCAAAGCCACTCTGCCGGACTTAAGGGTGGATGTGCTATCGTTAGTGGCCCTGTCCACGACGTACTCGAGTTAAATATATCGAAGGCTAGTCGACAAGTTCTTCAAACCGACTGGGTGAAATTCAACTCAGAGAGTAGGAAGACAGTGAGCTTATTGCTGAAGTGAACCTCTACCTGTTACGCAAATTTCATTTGCGAAGTTTCAACTGGTAGTGAACATTTACAATACTTTCTTAGAAACCATATACACTTTACCCCAACTTCTGTTTCAAGATAGTGGGTGAAGAGGGAGAGAGGCTTGGCGTGACCCGATGGGACAGTCGCGCTCTGGGTGGCCCATTATCAAGGAGGGCCCATTATCAAGGAGCGTCGAGCAAGAGGGCCCTCGAATTCGAAAAGGTCAGAATGTCCACTACAACCCTCAACATTATTTGACAGAAAACGATATCTAGACACGTCAAAGGGGCACGCATCAGTTATTGAACTATTAAAGACATTGTGTGTGGGATGGGAACGACGTTCTAAGTTACTACTTGTCGAGGTCATGGAGGGCGCAATTTTTCAGCTCTAATTAAGTGTTTCATCCCTCGCACTCTCCCTCTCTCCCTCCCTCCCGATCCCACCCTGTCCACCTCCCTCCCTCCTTCTCCCTCCTTCTTCTTCCCTTAGCTTCTCTGGTAATACACTTGTGGTTGTGTTCAACTTCACTAGTTTGTTAAATGCAACAGTGGTTGCTAAAGACCTAGATGTTGATGCGACCTTAAATAACAAAACAATATATGAACGCTAGCTTATCAGTGCATTATGTGATTTCAATCAAGGGTAATGAACATGCAAGAAATTATTCCCTAGTGTGAAAAACCAAGAACTGTGTTCTATGTATTGAGAGACGTGTGAGCATGAACGAAGTGTTCAATGAATAAATAAAATAATAATTGCAACTATAAAGGTCTACAAGGACTAAGTCATTAGTTTTAGCGAAAATAAACTGACTTTCCAAACTATTTTTTTGGAAAAATAAGATGCCTTGTGCTCAAAGGCGTACAAAAGATTAATAACAAAATTCATCAGGGAACATTAAAAAACGAGATATGTATAATATTATTGCATTAATGACGCGAACGTTAGCTTTGAACTTTCTTAGATCAATACTATTTGGAATATAATATTACATCTCTTAATCTGCTTTGTATTCCCAAAAAGTTAAAAACTACTCAATGAAACAAGATTTGTTTTAAAACCCATCCAATCTTTTTTCTCCAGCTAGTTAAAAACTTGTTATTAAAAAGTAATAACTGAAGACACTACATGTACCATAAAAAATGTTCTAGAACTATTTCATTGAGAAATAATAAATTCATTGATAATCAAGAGGCACAATCTTAAAAAAGCATAAAGAAAACTGCATGTATCACAGAGCCTACGCTTCATAAACTGCAAAATTACTTTCATATATTAGATTGTTTAATCGCATGCAACACGTATTTAGTAAATGAACATTATGTCAAAAGCTTCATAATAATGTATTCTACACCGACTAAAAGTGAGGTATTTAAAAGACGTAAGATTAGCGCGCATTAAATAGGGAACTAGTGTACAGATTATGCTTTGATTGCCTGATTGATTTCGCAATTCCGGGTGTCAGCGGCTATTGTGTTAATTCTGAAATTGTAGTGCATATTTTCATCACTAGAGCTGGCTGTGAACTTCACGCTGGATGGCGAGTTCTAGCGCCGATCTTCACGACGGCTTGCAGGGTTTTCCTCATACAGGTGTCTCCCATCTGCAGGATATCACCCCAGCGCAACTCTAAGCCTGACTGGTTTCCCGACATTTGTTGTAGTGTAGTGCAGGATCTCCCGATCAGAAGCTCTGCAGTGACATCAGTTGATGCCCTGAGCCACATAAATTGGAGAAGATGCGCGTATTTTTATTATAACTGCAGCAAGAACTATATGCACTTCAGAATAACTAGGAATAACATGGAATAATGACAAATTGGCATTATATATTGTAACATTGGTGGAAAGTAGAGTGTCTTACGTAATAAAATATTTGACGTAGAATTTGCAGGATATGTCATTGAACCTGATTAAATATTAACGTACTTACATCGCTAAATCAACTCTATTTTTCATTTTAAAATGGCAATAAGGGTAATTTGAATTATATTTCAAATCGCTTTTTGACCGACTCAACGGTGACATTTTGTCCATAATTCTCGTCTGTACTCTACAACTGCCAAAGGCAATAAATTACACAGCTCAAAGGTTTCTCTCCTAGTTCGAAAGAATATTTTGACAGGTTGAGAAGAAACATTAATATTTTGACAGGTTAGACTGCTTAGGTTATTGATCTTAGGTTATTGACACCACATTTTTTACGTCTCTAATAGAAATGAGACGTATATGAATATGAGAAATGAGACGTGATGTCTATAACCTAATATTGAAGCAGTCAAACACTACGCAAGGAGACAAACAAATCCTTATCCCTTATCCTTCGTACGCCTTCCTTCGGAGGGGAAATAAAGCCGGCTGTTCCATGTTAGTAGATTTACTTCCATGTAAAACACCCTTAAGCCTAAATGACGCCTTTGAGGTAAATTCCAAATCGCCTGTTTCTCGCCCAAGAAAGACCTCCTTCCTCTACTAGTTATTGAAAGGAGCGTAGCGATATTTGCGTTGTCAGACGGAAGAGCAGGCCTCATGGCCTGAGTCTCGCCACGTAAAATAAGGCATTAATTCAACTCAAAGAATAATATACGAAGAAGAAACACTAATATAAACAAAGACGATTCGGACGTCGCGGGGACACCCAGAGAGCCAAGAGAAATTCCGTCGCTTCTAAGGAGAGCAGTACATTGTTTCAAAGATAACGAAGAAAAAAACGCCATTGTGAAAGTAGGTGATGGAGCAGTTTATTTGCGTGGGCGTGGTCGATGGGGGTGGGGTAGGGGTAGGTCGCGCAGGTCACTTGCGCGGCTGCTTCTTGTTCTTCTTCTTCTTGTCCTTGGCGCTGCGCGAGCGCGGCGTGGGCGGCGCTTCGGGCGGCAGGTCGCCGTCGATCAGCGGCGAGTCGAGGCAGCGCCGGTCGTTGATGGCGCGGCGCGGCTGGCGCGCGCGGCGCTCCTGCTTGGCGTCGCCCGTTGCGTCGCGACGCTCGAGCGACGCGCGTCGCCGGCCGCCCCGCGCGCAGAAACATGCGCTCCTTGGCCGGCGGCCAGTCGCGCGCAGCCCGGCCGCCCCCCGGCTTGCGCTGGCGCTCCCGGGTCCCACGCGCCGGCGGTTGGCTTCGCGAATGAGCTGGCGCTGGCGCCGCGGCAAGGCGCTTGGGATAGCTCGTACGCGCGCCGCGGGCTCCCGGCTCGGTGCGGGCACGGCGGACACACGCCCTCGCCCTCTTCTTCTTCCTCTTCCTCCTCCTCCTCCTCGGCCTTCTCCTCCTCCTCCCTCCTCCGCGTCCAACGTACACCTCCCCCGCGTTCCGCCGCCCTCTCCTCCTTGCGCAAGCGGATGCGCTCGGGCTTGGGCGTGTGGAACTGCAACCACCAATGATGAAGCTCCGCGCCAGCCCGTGGTGGAAGTTCCTTCAGCACGTCGTTACTGGGGTGCACCCGGGTCTTCAAGTTGGACACGCAACGCCACGTCGGGCTCGTTGTCGAGGTAGCGGATCTCCAGGTGGTAAGACGCGGGCCAACGTGGGCGAGCGCCGTGCGCGGCACGGCGGGGACACGCGCAGCAGCACGGAGACGCCGCAGCCCGTGCCCCGCGTCGCCCGGGCACACCGTGAGGTAGCCCAGGCGGTCGTGGGCACGCCGGCACGAGCCCGCGGTCCAGCACGGGCGTGGCGCATGCCACGCGACCGGAACAGCCTACCGGCCAGCCGCTCCGCCGGCCTCAGCAGCGCCACCACGCGGATGTGGTCCCTTGTCGTTTGAGCAGCACGCAGAACGAGTGCTCGTGGTTGAACGTAGACGCCGCGGCCCGCGGGCCAGTGCGCGCGCCACGTTGCCCTGTCGATCGTACTTGTCCGGCGGGTCGAAGAAGCAGTGGTCGCGCGACAGGCCTTGGTCGCGGAGGTAAGCGGCGGGATGCACGTCAGCGGGAGGTACTTGCCGCTGCGCAAGAGCAAATACCTTCAACTCAGTGGGGCGCAGCGTAGATTAGAGCAATAGCTTTCCGTCACTTCTTTTTACGGGAAACCGGTATTCCTACATTAATAAATTGTTATTGTCCTAATTTTACCTACACTCTCTTCTGGAAGTGTGGGTAAGAAAACACTTCCCATGTTTTTAAATGCAGGTCTCGCTGATTTAATTCCGTTGCGTCGCGTTGAGAATTCCGTCGGAAATATGGGTATTTATCAAACCCAATATCCATGCACTCCGTGATATTAATAATGACTTAATTTTCAGCTCGTGTAAAATTAAAACCAATAGTGTTCAACAATATCATACTAAATGATCGCTATGTCCGATGTCCGATGTTCCAAACTGCCTATGTATAAGAATCTCTTTGGTTTTAACATTTGGTTATAATATACTCCTTCCGCTTTTTTCCCCTGTTGGTAATCATAAACTTGTGACACATGTAATCTTATTACGTGGGCTAATTCTACAAAGAATCGCGGTATTCGCATGGTAATTTAACATAGCTTTCAGTTTACTTCTCATTATTTTGGCGCATTTTGGAACTCTGTTGAACATAAAACACTCGTGGAATAGTCTCTGCTTTGGAAATTCTCAGATAATGTCTTTTTCCTCCTTCGCGAGTCTGGAATTTATCGAAAACTCCAAAGCACTCGTGACTTCCGACGATAATTTTCTGGCCTGTCTCAGACGGCTATTGAAATTAAGAGGGAGAACCGTGAGTGACTTTTCGTAGAGTATGTAAACTTCTGAAGACCGTTCACAAAAGAAAACATGGTCGAAAAAGTATCCCATCCGGCGTAACGTGTGTGTGTGTAAGAGAGAATTTGTGGTCGTGGTCGGGTGCGAGTGTGTGTCCTGTGAGAGTGCGTTCTTTGGTGGGGTGAATATTGTGTGAAATTAGTGTATGCCGTGGTACTGGGTGTTGTGCGAGTGTGTGTCGTGTTGGTTCGTTTGGTGAGTGTGAAGTGTGAAGGTTAAGTGAGAGTTAATGAGTGAGGAGTGTGAGTAAGTGAGAGTTAATGATGAGTGAGTGTGAAATGAGTAGAGTGTGAGTGATGGAGTGAGTGGGTGAGTGGGTGAGGAGTGAGTGAGTGAGCGTGAGTGAGTGTGAAGGGTGTTGAAGTGAGTTGAGGTGGAGTGGGAAGTGTGAGTTGAGTGAAGTGAGTGTGAGGGTGAGTGAGTGAGTGAGTGAGTGAGTGTAGTGAG